ATCAAACCTGGCGATGGGGGTGGGGGGTGGGGAGGTGTCTCCTGCAGACAAACTATCTGCCCAGCCCCTTTGAGGTATCTTTCCTGTCTCTACCGGGGTGTTTTTTTTGGGGGGGGGCCCTGCACTCAGAAATTACTCCTGGCGGTGCTTGGGAGGCCATATGGGATGCTGGGAATCGAACTTGGGTCTGTCGCGTGCAAGGCAAATGCCCTACCCGCTGTGCTATTGCTCAAGCCCCTCTCCCTCGATGTTTTGTCCTAAATTTTCAGACCTCTTACCTCCAGGCTCTCAACCAGGAGGAGTGGTGTCTACGACCTGCAAATATTCACCGCCAGGCTGAGCTCCTGGATTGCAGGATTTAGCCTGTGAAGGAAAAGCGTGGGTGACTTTTGCTCCTCTCGGAGTGGTCACGACTTTATATTCCAGATCGGAGGACATTAAGATGATCTTGAGCGTTGAGAAAAATCTTACAAACCCATTCATATTTGGCACACACATAAACTAAACCATCAAGTCTTTGTTTATCTGAAAATTCAAACGCACCTGGGCATCCTATACCTTCAATCATTTTGCGAGTTGGGAAAACGGTGGGGGATGGGGGATGGGAGGAGTGGGTGGCTGTTTTTTTTTTTTTGGGGGGGGGGCTGTCTACATCACTCTGGCAGAGACAAGTAAAAAAAAAAGCAGCAAATGCGGGAGTGGCCGGCCAAAGCCAAGGCCCGAGCCACTTCCTTTCCAGAACCACGGCCCGGGTCACAGGAATTAGCGATTCCAGGAAGGCAGCAGCGTTACCGTCAAGGAAAAGTGCAAACTGCTTCATAATTTGCACTCGGCCCTTCTGCAGGACGGCAGCCAGCAAGGAAGTACCCACCAGGCGAGCCTCTCCCACATTTTCCAACACGAACAAGGCGGAGCGCTCGGGGACGCTGGGCCGGGCTCAACTCGGGCGTCACGTAACCTAGGAAACCCGGGGCGGGGCGGGGCGGGGCAGGATCCGGAAGTGAAGAGCTGACCCCGCCCCTCTTCCGAGCCCCGCCCCGTCCTAGCCCCGCCCCCGACCGCCGCGCCCGGTGACGTGTCTGAACTCCGCAAGCGGAAGTCGGGGTGAGGTCGCAGCGAGAGGCGTCGACGAGGCGCGGCCGCCCCAGCTCCTGCGCATGCGCGCTGGGCCGCTCCGGCCGTGTCCGGAATCCCGGGACCGTTTCCACTGCTGAAGCTTCTGCCTCTCCGGGTTTTGGCTCCAGCTGAGCTCGGGAGGTGGGGCGGAGACGGCGCGGGTTTTTGCAGGGGAAAAGGCTGGAGATCTTCCCTCCCCTCCCACCCTACACACACCTTACTCGTTTTCCAGGCCACTGCGCACTGTCATTTTCCTTTTCCACCCCTTCTCCCCAAGGAAGTAGTTTAAACTGGGAAACTTCGGGTTCTTTGCGGCGCTGGGTGTCTGCGATTCCAAATGGGGGACCGAGAAGGTCGGGGGTCCCGCCGGGTGGCAGCCCTGTTTCAGCCCAATTCCGTGCCAGTCGCTGCTCCGGGGCTCCAGATGAGCCCGCAGAGTTAGAGCGCCGGGGGGCAGGACCCACTGCCCGGGATGCACCTATGCCCGGGCACGGAGAAGCAGCTCACTGCAGACTGGACAGGCGGGTGCCGTAGGACGCAGGGTGGCGCCGGGGAGACCTTAGCACTTAGCCCGGAGAGGCAGGCGCTGTCCTTCCGGAGACCAGATCCGTGGGTGTGAAGGGATGGGGGTGTGGCTGGTATTGGAGGACCCGGGGCGACAGCACCGCGGGGTCCAGGACGCTTGCCTTGCACACACTGCTGACCCGGGTTCCATCCCTGGCATCCCCCCCGATGGTCTCCCGAGCCGGCCAGGAATCACTCCTGAACGCAGAGCGGGGAGTAACCCCTGAGCATCCCCGGGAATGCCCCCCACTCCCCTCCCCGCAAAAAAATATTGGAAAGGTTTAGTTCAGCGGTGCAGCAGACAAACTTGCTGGAGGTCTTGGAGGGTGCAAGAGGACAGGTTAGTTTCCAAGTTGGAGGGCCTGAGAAGCAGGGGAGACGGGTACAGAGGTGCAGTTTCCTGAGATGGGGAGATTGGAGCCGGAAAGGTGGGCCGGGGCGGAGGTGGCAGAGACAGTGAGTGAGATAGCCAGATGGCTCCTGTCAGTTCCTTAAGGGCACAGAATAAATAGAAGATCGTGAACTTCCTTTTCATTTTCTTCCTGGTTCCTTCCCAAACGGAGAGGTGATAAGCTGCCACCTGGTACCACTGGAAATGACTTTGATGTCAAGTGCAGAGCTTTTTTTTTTTTTTGCTTTTTGGGTCACACCCGGCGATGCACAGGGGTTATTCCTGGCTCATGCACTCAGGAATTACTCCTGGCGGTGCTCAGGGGACCATATGGGATGCTGGAAATCGAACCAGGATCGGCTGCGTGCAAGGCAAACACCCCACCCGCTGTGCTATATCGTTCCAGCCCCGAGTGCAGAGCTTTCTAAATCAATTTCCCGAGCCCAAAGCCCCGTGTGCAACCAAGTTTGCACCTCATTGATTGTCTCCAGGGGGGATTGTGTGCAAAGGAGAAGCTGCCTGGACAGCTTCTGCTCCCTGCAGATGAGCTGGGGCGGCTCCAGTTCCTCACTGAGCTCTTTATGCATGCTATTACACGCAGGACGCCAGGCCCTAGAGAGACCCACATTCTTCACTCCATGTCCTCTACCCTGTGCAGCTTAATCGATGGGAGTACCCAAGGTTACATAACTAGACAGCAGGCCTCCAAGGCTGGCGCACTCTTGCAAACTACCTGGACAAATATGAACTTGATCTTCCATTGTTCAAAGGTCCTTGCAGATACTGGGCTGTGGCTGTATGGCCCAGTATAACTTTTTTTTTTTTTTTTGGTTTGTTTGTTTTCCTTGAAGGGTGACAGAGTCCTTTGAGAATGGAGTGAACTTTTAAGCTTGCCAGAGAGGAAAGGTACATGCAGGCAGAAGAGTTTACGTGGAATTTCGTCACACTTTCCTGCACTGCCCTAACGTTTAGCAAAGGGGCTGGTTCTTGAATTCTGCTCTGGACATACTCTGGGTATGTCCTGGCTATTTGGTTAAAATTGATGCCCTCTACAGGCTGGGAGAATGTGAGGCCACACGGATTAAGTTGACTGGAAGGAACACTGACATATGTGGAGGAGCTCAGGCACAAGGCAATAAGGTGATAAAAACAGCACGCACCAAACCACTGTGGCTCAATGGATGGACAGGTGAGGGGGGAAGGAAGGTCTGACCAGAGGTGATAGAGAGGGACCAGGGTGGAGGGCTGTGAGGATGTCAGAGGCAGCGGCCAGAGACTTTGTACATCAGTACCATAAATCTGAACACTACTGTACCCGATTATCTAAGCAGTAATTAAAAATAAATACAGTTGATGCACTCTTTCTGACGTATTTGATTGACTCCAAGACCAAGTTGAACAGATGCTGTCACTGGATGCAAATTGGTCCTTCAAAAGTACCCAGAGATCACGCCATTTATGCACCCAGGTATGGTGTGCGTGCATACACACACACACACACACACACACACACACACACACACACAGTGTGTCTCGGCAGGCAGAAGCAGCAAGTGAACTCATGCTAAGGTTATCAACCCAGCTTATCATTTTCTACTCCCTCTTTCTCAAGAGCAGTTCAGTGTGCCCTGTTTTTCTTACAAAGTAGTTTTTAGTGCCACCCTCCACCCACTTTGTCTCTGCATCGCAGATCCACTCAGGCCTAAAAGGTGTGTTTATCCCTGGCCACCACGGTTCTACGCAAGAAGGGACTAGCCCATGCAATGCTCAGACCTGTTGGTAAAGCAAACATCCTCAGTGGCCTGTGGGTGCAATGTCCAGCTAATTTGCCCCCACTGGCTTCCTTCCATAGCCCATACCCCAGCAACAATCTTGGGAGTTCTCCTTCGTCCTACCAAGCCATCTGTCCCCACCAGTGCTTCCGGAGCACCAAATTCTGTTACCAGGGGTAAGCGTGTCCCTAAGACCACTGCAGAAAATCTGAGAAAAACTGAGCCCAAGAAGACCTTTATCACTTAATCCCATTTTCCATACATAAATTCCAGGTAGTCACTAATCATTCTGTCACTGTCATTGTCATTGTCTTCCTGTTGTTCATTGATTTGTTTGAGTGGGCACCAGTAACATCTCACAACAAATTGTGAGACTTGTTGTTACTGTTTTTGTCATATCGAATACATCACAGGTAGCTTGCCAGGCTTTGCCGTTTGGGCGAGATACTCTCCATAGCTTGCCAGCTCGGAGAGGGGTGGAGGAATGAACCTGGGTCAGCCCATGTGCAAGGCAAACACCCTACCTGCTGTGCCTTTTAAATTTTTACTTGTTTTCCTTTGTTTTGTTCTGGGGCCACACCTTCATGCTTGGGAGGTGGTACTTAGGGGAGCAACGATCCTTGCCAGGAATCAAACCCAGGTTTCCTATATTCAGAGCATGCGCTTGGCCCCCCAGAGCTGCCTCTCTGACCCCTTTTCTATTGCTTGCCGGTTCCTGATGGCTTTGTTGTTTTCTTTCCCCAATAAATTTCTCATCATATTTGCCCATCACTTTCTGTGTACATGGCACGTGCACATTGATTCTCTCTACAGAGAATTTTTTCCCTTTTTTTCCCTTTTTTAATATTTTATTTTCATATCAACCACATTTGTATCTTGTTCCCCATTTATTTTTTTTAATTGAGTCACAGCGATACACACATTTACAAAGTCGTTCACGATTAGATCTCACTCACATCACTCCAAGCACACCCGCACCTGAGTTCTAGGTGGGAATTCGGAACCGGACGGGGAGACCCGCCCCGCCCCGCTCCGCCCCGCCCCGCGGGCGCGCGGAAACCCCGGGCCCCGGATCCCGGGCCGGCCGAGCGCGCGCGCTCCCGGAAGCGCGGAGGGGCGCGGGCGGCCGCTCGCACTGGGCCTGCGCGGGCCGGCGCGGCGCATGCGCGCTGGGACGCGGTTCGGCGTCTGTTGCGGGAGCCGCGGAGTCTCCCGAGCGCCCCCCGGAACTGCCGCTCGCGGCCCGGCCTCCCTGGGCGCCCCGCGGCCTGGTCGTTGCGCCCGCCGCCCGCCGCCCCGCTCCGCGCCCCCTCTGCGCCCCGAAGCCGCCGTCATGAGCCCCAAGCTGCGGCCGTCGCGTCCGGCGCGGTGGCCAGCGCGGCCCCTCGGGCTGCCGCTGCTGCTGCTGCTGCTGCTGCTGCTGGGGGCGGCCCCGGGCCCGCGTCCCGGCGCCGCCTTCTACCTGCCCGGCCTGGCGCCCGTAAACTTTTGCGCCGAGGACAAGAAGAGCGACGAGTGCAAGGTGGGCAGGGTGCGGGGGCACCCCGGGTGCACGGAGAGAGCGCAGTCCCCTGCCCCGCCCCGTCCTGCCGTGTCCTGCTCTGCCCTGCCCTTCCCTGTCCCGTCCCGTCCCGTCCACCTCAACCCCCACGCCCAGGGAGCCGAGGGCCGAGGGGGGCGTAGCCGGGGGTGGGCTCGGCTGAGCCGGGTCGGCGCTGTCTGGGCGCGGGGAGTGGGCGCGGTGGCCGGGACCCCCCCAATGCCAGGACCGCGGGCTCTGCTGGTCGGGCCAGGGGCTCGATCCCCGAGTCTCGGTTTTCCCCGCCGGCATCGGGGGGCTGGGGGCTCTTGTGTTCTGCTCAGGATCACCCCCCTCCCTTTCTCCGGGGCTGGAGGCGTGGCGCGGGGCTCCGCGCCCGCACAACCGGGCAGTGCCCGGTGCGCCCGCGGCCCGGGGTCGCGCAGCTGCTGCCGGTGGGGTCCGACTTTCCCTGCAACTTGGGGGGTCGTTTTGGGAGCTCTTTGCAAGGCCCCTTCCCCACCACCGGGGTGCCTTTGAACTTGAGGGTTTGCCGTGGAGGGGGGTTCGTAGAGGGGGTGTGGAACAGCATCAGCTGCGGAGACAGCTGCTGTCTGTCGTGGGCCAGGCGCTACGGGTACCCTTTTTAGTGGCATTGTTGTTTTAAGTTGCATTAAAAAAAAAAAGGCATGAAAACGGAGCTGGCCCGGTACTGTGACTTCCTTGAGATTGTTTCGAAATGCTTTCAAGAGGAGGCGACGGAAGATCCTGACTTTTTTTTTTCCTGCCCCGGGGCTCCAGGTCTGGGATGGAACTGCTGGAGGAAGGGGCGCACACTCCGCGCTTCCACAACTTGGGGTCTTGCAGACGCAGCATTGGGGGGAGGATTTTCTCCAAAACCGTTAATAATTTTAACAGTGCCAATAATCGTTCGGTGGACTTTTACAATCTACAAATAGGCTTAGTTACTAAGTATGATTTTTTTTTTTGCTTTCCTTTTTATTTTATTTTTAAGCTGGTGTTTATTTTATTACTGCTCGCTTTACTGTCGCTGTGGATTTTTGCCTTGTTTTAGGGCATTAATGAATCTATTAAACATTTCACCGCTCCTTGCATCTGTTTGAACACTCGGCTTCTCTCCCAAGTGTCCGAGGGGTTGTGTGGTTGCTTCTGTCTGCATTGCTTTAAGTCTGTGTCCATCGTGCGGATTCTGCCCAGCAAAAAGTCAGAGGAAGTTCTGACAAAGAATTGGACACTTCTAAAGCGGGTCAGCGTATTGTTTTTTGTTTTTGTTTTTCCATTAACTGTTTGACCAGCTCTAAACCAAGTAATTTGGTCTTTAGGTGCGTTGGCAATCTTCCATTGTATTCCTAGTGCCGAAGAAACAAAAAACAACAAAACCAAACCCCAAAAAACTGCTCTTTGGCAGAAACAACGTAAAAATCATAAACTTTTTTGTTTTTGGGCCATCCCCAGCGGTGCTCGGGGGTTACTCCTGGTTCTGTGCTCAGGAATTACCCCTGGCGGTGCTTGGGAGATCATTTTGGATGTCGGGATAGAACCCTGGCTGGCTGCTTGCCAGGCCAATGCCCACCCAGCTGTAGTGTCGCTCCAGCCCCAAAGACATAAACTTTTTAAGAACTGATGACCACGGTGTGAAAAATCATGAATGACACCGAGGTGGAGAGGAAAGATGTGTGGGACCCAGGCTTCAGGGTTGTCTGCCAAGAAGGTGCATTTCCGAGAACCCCTAAGTGAAATCTCCTGGTGGTCTGCCCTCCACCTCCCAGCCCGTGGCTCCCTGGCCCTTCTGGAACCTTTCACTTTTTGGTTCATCATAAGGTTGACTTCAGGAAAGACTTTTGCTGTGGATCTTTTTTTTTTTTTAATTTTTAATTTTCAAAGGTAGGGGGATCAAACCCACAAGGTGATCTCTTGGCCTGGAATGTTTGCCGTTATCCTTGTGGCCCAGTGCTCTCGCTCCTTGGGGTCAGTAGAAATTGCTGAGAGAACAGTGGAATGATGTAGTTTGAGTATCTTCTGTCTACAGTTTGGCTAACTGGCAAGTGAATTTGAGGTCAACTCTGGCATGTCTTAGCTTCTCAAAGAAGAAACTCTGTAGACAGGTTCAGTCCCTAGTATTCGGTCACGTGTTTAAGTTTTTCCTCTTCCTTGTCCCGCATCTGATCAGGAGTACGGCCATGTATTCGCTGTTTAGGTTAGCTGAGGGCACCAACGGGAATGTTAGATGTGGGACTTGGGAGCTTGGGTCACTGTCTTCAGATGCTCCCATGGGGCCAGCAAGCCAGGAGTTGGAAGAATTGGACAGGTCTTGAGTCTATTTCTGTTCATTTTTCCATCTGTAAAATGGGAATAATTACTTATTACATATTCCCCTAAAAGGTATATCTTGAGAAGTATAATTTTCATTGGTTTGGGTCTTTTGTTGGTTTGTTTTAGTTTGGGTTGGGGCTGTGCTCAGGGTTTACTCCTGGTTCTTAGCTCAGGGATCACTCCTGGCAGTGCTGTTTGGGGGACCATATGGGATGGTGGGGTGACCACTGGCAAGGAAAGCACCCTACCTGCTGTAGTGTCTCTTGGGCCGCACGAAGTATAATTTTCTTTTAAATTACTGTTCCCTGGAGATAAGTGTAGAGATGAAACAAGTGTATCTTTAATCTTAGTGTACTTTGTTACTTTTTATTTTTACTGTACTAAATCCATGTTGATACTTAGGCCACTAAAGGCTCTTTAGAGATGGTGGAAAGAGCCCTGAAAATTTGGTCAGTTTTTTTTCTCTTGAAATTAGCTAATGTTCATTTTACTGTCAGAAGTTGACAAGTGAACAAAAGTTCCATTTATATTGCTCTGACTTCCGATTTATGGTCTTTCTTAGCCTCATAAAATACCATGACTGTGCTCTGGACTTTTTAACTTGCTATGGTGACTATATGTCTGAATATCAACTTAATGCACTTATTTTTCATTGACTCCATTGTATTTTGGAGATGATAATACTGTGGGCGACCTAGCCGTTTCTTGGTTTTAGGCTATTTAGATTGGTGCCAGTTTTCCTCTATTGCTAATAACCTCTGTTAGCATGTAGTTAGCAGGAATTACTTGCTTATTCCCAAATATATATAAATTATTATAAAATTAAAAAGCTGTTTAGCTCAGGTGAATGTTGTCAGGTTTCTATCCAGAAAGACGTGGTTGCCCCCAGCCGTGAAGCCAGGCCTTCTAGACCTTTGAGCTTTCTCCCTGGCTCCTGTGTCCTGATTCACTGCTGCGTTGCTTTCAATGCTATTTGTGGTTTCTTTGTCTAATACTTATTTTTGCCTGTTTGTTTGTTTGTTTGCTTGGTTTTGGTGTTGGGTCACACCTGGCGCTCGGGGAGTTACTCCTGGCTCAGGAACCACTCCTGGCAGTTCTCTGGATGAAGCCACGTTGGCTGCGTGCAAGGAGGGCACCTGCGCCGCTGTGTACTCTCTTTCCCGTCCCTATTTGTTCGTTTTTGAAGCCATAGTCAGAGGGTTGAACCGTAGTGTTGCTTTCTTCTTGGATCAGCTTTACTTACTCCCCCCCAGCTTTTTTTTGGGGGGGGGGGTGGGAATTACACCCAGCAGTGCTCAGGGTGTGATTGTGCTTGGGGACCATATATGGTGCCAGGGATCAGTCCCAGGTCAGCCGTGTGTTAGGCAAGCACCCTCCCTCCCCACTGCACTCTTCTCTCTGCCGCCCTTCCCCCCCTTTACTTTCTTACGACCAGTAGGCTCAGCAAAAGCCTTAGAGGGGAACGGGTGGATTGTCACCCAGTACCCAGTAGGGCGAGCCGCTCCACTTCGCTCTGTAACAGTTTTGACTTCAATTAATCACTTCATGCTGTTTAGCTTCAGACAAGTCTGGAGGTGTGCTCGGGGCATTCTGATGGTTAATAGCTGAAAATTAGTTCACCCTGTAGCCTTTAAAATTCATGTATTGTTGGCTTGTCGGCATGAATTCAGACCTAACAGCTAAACTCTCCCAACCTCTTTGACTTTTTCCTTTAGGGTGTATAGCTCATACTCGGGTGAGATTAAGATTTTCTTTATTTGGGGGAAAGACCAAATATGTCCCCTGGTGGTTCTCATTTTTAAAGAATGTTTAAATGGTTAGTTCAAGAACTTCTTGATAAAAAGGAATCATGCTTTCAGACTTTCTTTTTTTGGTGGTTATTTTTAGGGACTTTTCAAAATTAATTGTTATTTTAGCAGCAATTGCCTATAAGTATGAAATGTCAAAATTGAGACTTTAATATTTCTCTGAGCATATAGGAATGAGTATACATTCATTTGTTTTAATTTGGCTCTAGAAACAATTTGAATTGTTTGGATTTTTCCCCCCCCTGTGTTTTGGGGCCACACCCCGCCATGTTCCTCAGTCCTGACTCTGAGCTCAGGTGTCACTCCTGATGGTGCCTTAGGGACCGGACCTGGGGCGGAGGAAGGAGCCTGGGCCAGGTGCGTGCCCAGCAGTACCTCACCCACCATGCTGTTGCTCTGGCTGTGAAGATCCTGACATCCTAATTAAAGAGAGCGTATACATGTTTTTGTTGGTATAGTTTATATTTTGTGATACTCAGTTTCACATTTTCATAACCGTTCTGTGGAGTAAGAGCCTAGAGTCTTAGCTTCTGAGGCTTAGGTTATGATGTGGGTATTAGAGATGTTGTTTCTAATGTGAGATCTGGCGTGGGAAAGAATGACTTTGGTGAGACAGTGCTTTGGAGAGGGATGCTCAGGATGCTCCTGGGGGCGTGCTGGGGGGGCGCACGGGGACCCTGCCTGACCCTGCGAGGGGAGGGAGAGTGGGCCGGGCGGTGCTTCTCTGCTGCTGGGCTGACCCCGATTTCTGATTTCTTTGTTGTGCTCTAAAGTAGAAAATTAATGTTTTCCGAATGAGATTCCGAAACTCCGTCTTGTGGGGGGAAGAGGAGGCCCCATTCTGCTGAGCAGGTGACTTCC